GGCGTGCTCTGGTCCATGGGGTCACGAAGAGTCGGACACAACTAAACGACTAAACAACAACATCCAATGAGCAAACCTAAGTGTGGTTTTGCACATATATGTGTGCAGTGTGTCCACATGTACAAACATGCAAATGGAAAGAGTTATGCATGCACAAATAAGCCACACGGTGCTCCGAAGAGCCACATCAACTGCATACAAAAATGTATAAATAAACGGTGCCTCTGGTTGCCAACGTTTCAGCCCTTCTCTGCAGCTGTGCACCTCTCACGGCAGCTGGATCTGGAGAAATTCAGCAGTTGATAGCATCACTCTCTGTACTAAGACGAACACTGAGCATTGCTGTGGTCGGATCAGATTGCTGGCAAAGGCACAGTTGCATAGATGGGCTGAGAAGTTGGGAACTTTCCCCGGCTGAAATTCAGCGAGGATGAAGGATTGAACCCCTTCCATCTGCCACAGGTTGGCTAACTTAATACTCACCTCGAGCGAGTGGAATCAAGGCCAGCAGCAGCAAGCGATCCATCCTGTTTGAAGACCACCCTACAGACCCCCCCCCGCAACTTCCCTTCCTGTCCGTCCAGAAGTGAGCTCAGAAGGCAGAACCCAGGCGTCTAGGGAAGGGTGTCAAAAAGCGAAGCCAAGATTGCAGGACAGAACCGGATCAAGAGGTGTCCCTTGGGTGCCCCCCACCCACAGAGCCCCCCATATCTGCAGATGGGCTGTACGGCTGTGCAATGGATTTCTCCCTGTCACCCCCCACCCCCACCCTGCTTAAAGAACGAGGGACATCCTGCCGTCTCTGTACTCCATTGTCAAAGGTTTCCTGCCCCACACAATGCATGGGAGGAGAAAGGTTTCCTGTTACCCAGGGAACTCTCGTCAACATGCAAACAGGGTGGGGAGAATATGGGGTGGCGGGGGGGTGAGAGGACAACCCTGGAGGGAGCACTGCACCCAAAAGAACATGGCACTGTCGACTAAGGCATTAGAGGACTTGCTGCGACCCTGTGCTGAGAAGAAAGGGAGGCCAACACGACTGCACCTCACTGCCAGGCAAGAAAACTCTTCCCATCATGGGCAAACGTTGCACAAAAGCTGAAGCAATTTGGTTTTGATGCAAGAGACCCAAGTTCGAATTCCAGCCCTCTAGTGCAGTTGTTGTTGTTGTTTAGTCGTTTAGTCATGTCCAACTCTTCGTGACCCCATAGACCAGAGCAGGTGGGAGTCCTGTCGTGACAGTCTTCAATAAAGACCAAGCCTACTGGCTGCTGTTTTGCTCTGGTATTCCTGGCTGGTTTTTTGTCTAAGGGAGCCCTCAGATTTCAGTTCAATGTCCCATCTAGTCCAGCATCCTGTTCAATGGGCAAACAGGTGGCTCTGGAAAACTCTCCAGCAAGACCTAAGCACAAGAGCATTCTCCCCCCCCCCCCCGTGGTCCACAGGACTCAGATGCATCCCTGCCTCCAACAATGGAGGCAGCCATCATGGCTGATAACCATTCATAGCCTTAAGGTAAAGGTAAAGGGACCCCTGACCATTAGGTCCAGGCGTGGCCGACTCTGGGGTTGCAGCGCTCATCTCGATTTACTGGCCGAGGGAACCAGTGTACAGCTTCCGGGTCATGTGGCCAGCATGACTAAGCCACTTCTGGCGAACCAGAGCAGCGCACGGAAACACCGTTTACCTTCCCGCCGGAGCGGTACCTATTTATCTACTTGCACTTTGATGTGCTTTCGAACTGCTAGGTTGGCAGGAGCAAGGGGAGCTCACCCCGTCGTGGGGATTCGAGCCACCGACCTTCTGATCGGCAAGTCCTAGGCTTTGTGGTTTAACCAACAGGGCCACCCGCATCCCTTTTGTTGATAGCCTTACTCTTCATGAATTTGCCCAGTCCTCTTTTAAAGACATCCAAGTTTATCATTGCCTCCTGCGGGAGTGAGTGCCACAATTTAACTATGCCCTGCATGAAGAAGTATTTATTTTCTTTTATCTGAGCTTGTGGATAGAAGCTCCAGTCCTTTCTTGGAGACTTTTGCAGGGGATTCTCCAGCTAAGGGATATCCTGCCATCTCATCTTCAGCTTGGGATGCTGTTGGGTTTCTTCCAGTGCAGCTTAGTCTAAGATAAACGAAAGACTTAGATAAACAGGATGAGCTTCGGAAGAGACCCGCTATATCATTGTGATTTGAGGAATAGCTGGAACTGTTGCAGTGGCAAGACGACGATGTTAATACATCAAAAGCTGTGCAGATAGCATTGCAGACAAGCACCTTTGTTATTGAACTTCATGAAGCAGTTGAGCAGAGGGATGTATCACAAAGCATCTATTTTTATCCCCCCCCCTTTTTTTGGAATAGTTTTATTCAAGTTCGGGATTTTTACATACGTTATATTATCTCCTTCCAATTTTTAAATTTCCTGTACAATTTTTTCCTTTCCCTCCCCCCCCCATATCCATTGGAAGGGTTCAAACAATTATCATCAGCCATGCTCATGGGCATAGTGTCTTTAGTTTTCATCAAATGTCATTTGTTCCAGTAGTTTTTATCCATTGAAGGTAGGGGTTCCATCTGTTCTTTATTGTGGTGGACTTGATGTTGTTTCCTGTGACATGACTGTGACAATGTCTGACTGAATAAGTTCAAACAAATAACTATTCCATGCCTCTACTTTCCATTTTTCTAATCTTGAAGTTTCTTTTTTGAATCCTTTTCGTTTGTCGATACTCAATCTCTCATTGTAGCCATACCCTCTAATTTCTTCAAATTTATTCAAATTTAGCTTATTGTTTTTTTCTTCCAATATCATTCTATACGTTGCCCAGTCACCTTTTGCATCTTTCCTTTTTACAGCCGTGGCTTCTATCGGAGAGGTCCACCAGGGGGCTTTAGGTTCCAACAACATCTTGTATTTCTCCTAGATCTTATAAAGAGATTTCCTGATTATATGTTTTAAAAAGCCCCTGTACGCCTTTACCTTATTGTAAACGAAATATGCATGCCAGCAGAATCGGTTATCGAAAACCTCTAGGTCTAGCAAATCTGTATCTTTGAGTATGATCCACTCCCTGATTGCAACTCCAGTCTTAGACTCCAACTCCCATCCACCAGCATGGATGATGGGAGTTGAGGCATTGAGGGGCAGGCAATATCTGGAGGGCCACAGGTTGCCTATCTTTGGTCTGAGATATTGAAATACTCTGATGGCCTAGGGCATTGAATTTCAACTGGTCTCAGGTGGGTTACTACAGCAGCAGCAGCAGCAGCGGCGGCGGCGCACAAACGGAGTAAGCCCCATTAAACACCAATAAACTTCTGACTAGCCATGTAAATCACTGTACTGTAAGTTAATTGTTCAATGAATTCTTAACTGAGTGCCAGGCTTCGAAATTTCTAAAAATTGCATCCGTTGCTCCACCCACTGGTCACTACTGCCGTGTGGCCCTTGGAAAGCTGACCATAAAGGAATGTGGCCCTCAGGCTGGAAATAGTTATCCATCCTGGAGCGCAATAAGGAGCCAGTCAGTCAAGCAAAATTGCTTTAGCTAAATTGCGGGTTAAGTACTTAATTCGTTCTAGAGGTCCGTTCTTAACCTGAAACTGTTCTTAACCTGAAGCACCACTTTAGCTAATGGGGCCTCCTGCTGCCGGAGCACAATTTCTGTTCTCATCCTGAAGCAAAGTTCTTAACCCGAGGTACTATTTCTGGATTAGCGGAGTCTGTAACCTGAAGCGTATGTAACCTGAAGTGTCTGTAACCCGAGGTACCACTCCTTCAGAACCCAACTCTCCTCAAATTTTTTGCTTCTGAGCCTCTCTAGATATAGCAGGGAGCTGCTGCCTGTACAGTGGTACCTCAGGTTAAGTACTTAATTCGTTCTGGAGGTCCGTTCTTAACCTGAAACTGTTCTTAACCTGAAGCACCACTTTAGCTAATGGGGCCTCCTGCTGCTGCCGCACCGCCACTGCGCAATTTCTGTTCTCATCCTGAAGCAAAGTTCTTAACCCGAGGTACTATTTTTGGGTTAGCGGAGTCTGTAACCTGAAGCGTATGTAACCCGAGGTACCACTGTATATTAATAAGGCTGCAACCTTATACAGTGGTACCTCTGGATGCAAAGGGGATCCGTTCCGGAGCCCCGTTCACATCCTGAAGCGAACGCAACCTGTGTCTGCACATGCGCGGGTCACGATTCGCCGCTTCCGCGCATGCGAGTGATGTCATTTTGAGCGTCTTCACATGCACGAACGGCGAAACCCAGAAGTAACACGTTCCGTTACTTCCGGGTCACTGCGGAGCGCAACCCGAAAACGCTCAACCTGAAGCTACTTCAGCCCGAGGTACCACTGTATACCTTTACTTGAGAGTACGTCCCACTGAACTTAGCTCTGAGCAGCCCTGAAGAAGAGTTGCCCTGTACATTATTTATTCTTCTGTTTATTGCTATTACTCCCGTTGCATTTACAGCCGGCATTTCCTCCAAGGGAATCCAGGTAGTTTACATGGTTCTCCCCCATCTGCCCCGCCCTCCATTTCAATCTCACAACAACCCTGCGAGGTAGGTTGGGCCGAGCAAGGCATTTTCATCTTGCTCCCCCGGGTCCTAGTCCACCACCCCAACACCTCGAAGCAACATCGTCTCCAGGCACTGCGGTCGTCTGCAAGGGATTCCCATTCTCTCCCCAGACAGACAGATGCCCCTAAGAAGGACACCGGTTTCATACAGACAAAACGCAATGTCTCTGCGGTTGGAGGGCCATCTGTCATGGTTGCTGTAGTTGAGATCCCTTGCATTGCAAGGGGTTGGACTGGATGACCCTCGGACCCCCTTCCGACGCGACAATTATATGAGTCTTCCCTTCTCTCTCTCTTTCTTTCCCCTTCCTCTCTCTTCTCTCTCCCTCAAGGGGTTAAGTGCAGCGAGCTTCGCGCGCCTAGAGAGGAGGGAAACCAGAGCCACATGGCGAGGAAGGGAAGGGAAAGAGTGCGCAAAGAGATAGAAAAGCAGTGAGGTCACTTTCCTGCCCCACCTTCTCCCCTTCCTGGTGCGAAGCTTCCCTTTTGCACCGCCAGCCCTCCCTCCCCCCTTCCCATCATTTCCTTCTGCTGGGGACGGCAGGAGCCCGGAACGTGGACGGTTTGCAAAGGCAGTGGAAGCAACAGGCGAGTGAATTAATAATAATAATAATAATAATAATAATAATAATAATAATAATAATAATAATAATAATAGGAGTCAGGATTCCTGGGAGGGAGAAGAGGGGTGGGAGGTGGGAATCCCAGTCTCCCAGGTGGACGCAGGCAGGCAGGCAGGAGTACCTAAGATGAAACGTGTTGGCTAACACACACACACACACACACACACACGTATGCTAACAGCAGCCTCCTTCTGCAGAAGATCTGCAAGCCTGGCGGCAGGAGCAACTGCTTTGCAATGCAGAAGGTTCCCCCGTTTCAGGCGCGGAGTGAAGGCACAAAGTGCCCGCGCCCTCCCAGATCCAGGACACGCTCATAACCCAGGAATCTGTGATCAGCATCACAGCCAAGCACAGACATGCCCTTCGAGGAATGAGCAGCGCCTGCGGTTGGTGCACCTGCCTTGCATGTAGAAGGCCTCGGTTCAGTCTCCAGTGGCACCTACAGGTTCAACCTGAAAGCCTGGGGAAGCGCTGCCGGTCAGTGTTTTGACAGCACTAAGCAGAGATGCCAGAAGGGGGAGAAATGGAGGCAGTGAGAGATTTTACTTTCTTGGGCTCCATGATCACTGCAGATGGTGACAGCAGCCACAAAATTAAAAAACGCCTGTTTCTTGGGAGAAAAGCAATGACAAACCTAGACAGCATCTTAAAAAGTAGAGACATCACCTTGCCATCAAAGGTCCGTATAGTTAAAGCCATGGTTTTCCCAGTAGTGATGTATGGAAGTGAGAGCTGGACCATAAAGAAGGCTGATCAGAGTTCAAGGATGTTTTCCAGCCCAGGGGGTGTGAAGCAGGGCAAGTGAGGGATGTGGCCTTCTTGGGAGACACCTGAGGGCCATGTACAGAAATCACATTGCTTCTCTTTTTACTCTTTCCCCTCTTTTTCTGCTGTTCCCTGTGTTGAGTTTAAGATTGTAAGCTCCTTGGGGCAGGGACCTCTTGCACTCAGTGAAGTGCCATGCACAGGGACTTTGTCCTGGAAGATTCAATTGCTTTATTTTTTAAAAAACTGTTTTAATTGCTTTGGAATTGTTTTATTTCTTCATTTTAACTATGTGTGGATTTTGTAACTTGATTTCATATTTGCAAACCACTTAAAAAGCCTTTTTGGCATACAAACGGATAAATAACATTAATTGCCGAAAGTCAATTTGTCTTCACAATGCGGCATTAAGTGCATGTCCACATTCCCCAAATTGGGAAGCGACAGGGATGTGGTGCGTTCAAGGGAGATACTTATTTGGTCCAATCTTGCACCACTTTCCTTTTTTCTACTTAAACTCATCAAATTTCCTTTCCTGTCTAGGTGCCACGTGCCAGGAGTCAAAATGGAGGAGCGGGCCTCGCCAGGACCCACGTCGGTAAAGGGCATGCCAGGGAAAGAACTTTGCATTGTCCAAATTGGGACGAGCGCGGAAACGATTCTGCCTCGGGTTAAGCAAGAACCAGAGGATCGGGTGCAGGAGTTCTGGGAAGCCAGGAAGCAGGAATTTCTGAAGACGGCGGCACCGTCCTCGTATCCCGGGTGGGGAGACGCACTATTGCCTCGGCCCCCGACGGAGGAGAGCTCTGCAGGGACGAAGGCCTCCTTCGAAGGGGCGTCGGACACTAAGCAGTGGTCCAGAGAAGAGGGTGCGGATCTGGCCCTGCTAGGCCTGAGCGGCAAGGAGGTCCACGAGGCTCAGGAAAATGCAGACGCCTCTGTGGGAGTGAAGGAGGAGATCCCGGACGCAGACGCCCTAAACATGGAGATGCGCTGCCAGCGCTTCCGGCATTTCGGTTACCGGGAGGCCGAGGGTCCCCGCAAGGTCTTCTGCCAGCTCTGGGAGCTCTGTCGCCAGTGGCTGAGGCCGGAGAGACACACCAAGGAGCAGATCCTGGAGCTGGTGATCCTGGAGCAGTTCCTGATGATTCTGCCCCTGGAGATGCAGTGCTGGGTGCGGGAGAGGGGCCCAGAGACCGGCAACCAGGCCGTGGCCCTGGCGGAGGATTTCCTGTGGAGGCCGCAAAGGACGGAGCAGAAGGTGAGGGCAGATTGCTTGTAGAGCAGGAAGGGACCCCAGGAGGTCATCCAGCCCAACCCGCTGCTCAATGCGGGGTCAAATGTTTATTTATTGTTTGTATCCCACCTCTTACCCAAGGAGCTCCAGGGACACTGCAGATCTGAATTCGCTACTGAATACACACCAGGGTGGATTTGATTTAAATCAAATCAATTTAAATCACGATTTAAATCATTAGTCAGTAAGGCTTGGTTTAAAATATTTTTTTTTTCAGAAAGACTCATTCTTGCTGGTATAATCTTAATATTTACAACCAATCAGATGAAGGTATCCTTTTTGGAATAATAAATTTTCAGAGTAGTTTTTACAGTTATATCAAAAATTACTGATTTGGTTATACTATTAGAAATACATAGACCAATAATTATGAAATTATTGTGAGGAATAACAACAACCACAACAACAATAATAATTATTATTATTTATTATTTATACCCCGCCCATCTGGCTGGGCTTCCCCAGCCACTCTGGCGGCCTCCAAAAAAATATTTAAAAACTGTGATACATCAAACATTAAGAGGCTTCCCTAAACAGGGCTGCCTTCAGATGTCTTCTAAAGTCTGGTAGTTGTTGTTCTCTTTGACATCTGGTGGGAGGGTGTTCCACAGGGAGGGCACCACTACTGAGAAGGCCCTCTGCCTGGTTCCCTGTAACTTGGCTTCTCGCAGTGAGGGAACCGCCAGAAGGCCCTCGGTGTTGGACCTCAGTGTCCGGGTAGAACGATGGAGGTGGAGACGCTCCTTCAGGTATACTGGACTTTAAAAAATACTTAGACTGAGTTTTGGCACACATGAAAATCTTAAACAAATCCTTATTTCCTGATGAGTAGCTTTTGGACTATAATGTAACTTAAATCGAAAACTATCTTTAGAAAGATTTTTCCTCCAAAAGCATTTTATTTTAAAAATCCGATTTAAATTTTAAAAAATCTGCCTTTTTTTTTTAAAAAAAAAGATTTAAATTTAAAAAAATCTGATTTTTTAATCTTTTAAAAAAATCATTGATTTTTGTCCACCCTGATACACACCAACATACATGTGCATATTCACATGGATTTACAAACTCATTTAAAAAAACATATTGCATATTGTCCTTATTTTTTCCCCCAGACAGTGGAGGATTTGGACAGTTCTGCTGCCGGTTCCCCCAAGTCGGAGCTGGATCCGCCGGACATTGTGAAGATTGAGCTGCCCATGGATGGTGATGGTGAGGAGACCCAAAGTGGGGTTTGGGGGGGAGGTGGGGTACAGGTGAGGACAGAGCCCTTTGACAAAAGATTGAAGCTGCTGGTCAGAGGCAGGGATGCCTCTGAAAATCAGTTGCAGGAAACCACAGGAAGGGACACGGTTTGGATATGTAATTCAAAACCTGTTTGAATTCCATATCGTGATATTGGTTTCATAATTTTTGACCTTGCAATATATCGCAAATCATAATGTTGGTGTGTGTTCTGCAAAAATGACAATATGGAAAAAAACATGAAGCCAGCCAATGCTTCTCTCAATTCCTGCAGCCCCTGTTATTTTATTTTTTTAAATTTATTTATTTGGTTTTTCAAATTAATTTTTTTACAGGGATGTATATATCAAACATAAATCATAATTCCAAGAAATCTCCTGGTCATTTCCTCCTGCATCTTTTGTGATGATCCAAACCTTTTGCATCTCCATTGTGTCCAGGATTCACTCTTAAGACTGCAAGTGATATTCCAACCCTACTAATAATTTTAACGGCTTACAGTGGTCTTTAAGATAAGTTATAAATTTCCCCCATTCCTTATTAAAATCTTGGTCTTCCTGATTTCTGATTCTTCCGGTCATTTTAGCCATTTCAACATAATCCATCAACTTTACCCGTCATTCTTCTCTAGTAGGGACTTTATCTTCTTTCCATCTCTGGGCATACATCTGCAGCCCCTGTTAGCTCTGCCTGCTCAGCTCCCCCCCGATTCATGCAGGGGGGGCAGCGGATCACAAGAGCAGACGCCGGCAGAAATCACGATGCAGGAAAAACCGTGAAGCCAGCCAGTGCCTCTACTTAGCTCGGTATACAGTCTGTAACCTGAAGCATATGTAACCTGAGGTACCACTGCATTGCGATGTTTAGCTGCTGATATAGCACATACAGTGGTACCTCGGGTTACAGACGCTTCAGGTTACAGGCTCCGCTAACCCAGAAATAGTACCTTGGGTTAAGAACTTTGCTTCAGGGTGAGAACAGAAATCGTGCAGCAACAGTGGGAGGCCCCATTAGTTAAAGTGGTACCTCAGATGAAGAACAGTTTCAGGTTAAGAACGGACCTCCAGAACGAGTTAAATTCTAAACCCGAGATACCACTGTAGTTCAAAAGCAGATAGCGCCCAGCTCTACTTGTGCTCCAACCCTGCTTCCTGGTTTCCTACTGGCCTCTGTTTGGCCACTGTGAGAATGGGACCCTAAGCTAGATGGGACATTGGCCTGATCCAGCAGCCTCCTCTTAACCCCTTATTTGCGTTATTCCAGGAGTCAGTGACCAGCAGCAATATATCCTTGGGGGAGCAGCCGGCTTGGAGGAGGGGATGTACGGCCACGTGAGAAAGAAGGTGGTCTTGGGCCCCCGTCCGAAGACCCCGAAGGCACCGCCCAAGGAGAAGCCCCACAAGTGCCAGTACTGCGGGAAGATCTCCGACTGCCGCGCCCACCTGATCATCCACGAGCGGACGCACACAGGCGAGAAGCCGCACAAGTGCTCAGCCTGCGGCAAGTGCTTCACGCGGAAGGAGTCCCTCATCATCCACGAGCGCTTCCACACGGGCGAGAAGCCGTACAAGTGCTCGGCCTGCGGCAAGACCTTCAGCGACAAGATCGGGCGGCTGATCCACGAGCGGACCCACACGGGCGAGCGGCCCTACAAGTGCCCCGAGTGCGGGAAGAGCTTCGGCACGCGCTGCAACCTCCTGCGCCACCGGAGGGTGCACACGGGGGAGAAGCCATACCGGTGCGCCGAGTGCGGCCAGAGCTTCCGCTACCGGCCGCAGCTGGTGATCCACGAGGGCAGCCACAAGGGGGAGAAGCCCTACAAGTGCCCCGAGTGCGGGGAGAGCTTCAGCCAGACGCGGCACCTGGTCATCCACAAGTGGACCCACACGGGGGAGAGGCCCCACAAGTGCGGTGTCTGCGGCAAGAGCTTCAACCAGAAATCGGACCTGGTCACGCACACCCGGACCCACACAGGCGAGAAGCCGTACGCCTGCTCTGAGTGCGGGAAGAGCTTCATCTCCAGCTGCCAGCTGAGGAAGCACGAGCGGATCCACACGGGCGAGAAGCCCTACCAGTGCGCCGAGTGCGGGAAGCGCTTCACCTACAGCTCGCACCTAACGACGCACAAGCGCACCCACACAGGGGAGAAGCCCTACCAGTGCGCCGACTGCGGCAAGTGCTTCATCTCCAGCTCGCACTTCACCGCCCACAAGCGCACCCACACAGGGGAGAAGCCCTTCCGCTGCGCGCACTGCGGGAACGGCTACATCCAGAGGTCGCAGCTGGCCAAGCACGAGAGGTCCCACACGGGCGAGAAGCCCTACGCCTGCTCTGAGTGCGGGCAGAACTTCCGCTGGAGCCAAGGCCTCAAGAAACACATGCGGACGCACACAGGAGAGAAGCCCTACCAGTGCCCCAGGTGCGAGAAAACCTTCTCCAGCTCCTCCAACCTCTCCCGGCACCAGAAGATCCACGCCAGGGAGAAGCCGTAGCGGCAGCTGCGTGTCCGGATCCAGTGGTGGGATCGTGGGTGCGGTCGGGTGCAGGGATACCAAAGAAGGACGTCCAAAACGCCCAGGGGTTCAGTCCTAGTGCTATATTCAAAGAAAGGTGCAGACTTCCAGCAAAGCAAGTGAATATACAGTGGTACCTCGGGTTACAGACGCTTCAGGTTACAGACTGCGCTAACCCAGAAATAGTACCTCGGGTTAAGAACTTTACCTCAGGATGAGAACAGAAATTGCGTGGCGGCAGCGGGAGGCCCCATTAGCTAAAGTGGTACCTCAAGTTAAGAACATTTTCAGGTTAAGAACGGACCTCCAGAACGAATTAAGTTCTTGACCTGAGGTACCACTGTAAACATTATCTGAGCTCCTTGCTACAACAACTAATTGTGGGGTTATCTTGACTACCAAGATGGCGTCTGCAGGCCTTCCAGAACATGCCGCCTTTGGTTCAGCACACTGACAAGCAGTGCTCTCACCTCTCTTGACACCTCACCCTGACAAAGCCTCTGGGGCTGCTGCAGCGAAAACCCGCTTTGAGGGACTTGTTTCTCTTCTCCCTGCCAAAAGGCACACTCTCCTCCAGCTGCCAGCTGCCTGGGAACTGCAAGGGAGGGGCACTCTGGCTCACAGAACCAGCAAGTGGAACAAGGGCTGCTGGCTGGGTTTTTTCTGGTATTGCTTTATGCCAGGTTTGGGGAACTTGTGGCCCTCTGGATGCACGACTCCAGTTCCCATCATCCCCAGCCGTTGCGGGCAATGGCCAGGAATGAAGGGAGCTGCGGTCCAGCAACACCTGGAGAGCTTTGGGTTCTGCCATTCTTGCTTTTGGAAGTAAGCCTGAAGTAGACTCTGAATATGCAAGGATGAGGTTTCATGGTTCAAGTGTGTCATAGGCCAGCTTTGAGAATTTGCTTAATTGAAAGAGCCAGAAAACGAGTTCAGACGCAACACTATAGAAGAGGAGGAGTTTGGATTTGATATCCTGCTTTATCACAACCCGAAGGAGTCTCAAAGCGGCTAACATTCCCGTCCTCCCCCACAACAAACACTCTGTGAGGTGAGTGGGGCTGAGAGACTTCAGAGAAGTGTGACTGGCCCAAGGTCACCCAGCAGCTGCATGTGGAGGAGCGGAGACGCGAACCCGGTTCCCCAGATTACGAGACTACCGCTCTTAACCACCACACCACACTGGCACTGTAGATTGGAATAAAATTCAGATGGAAAGGGAATTGAAATATTTAGGCTGCCATCCCAGCCCTGCCCACTGAATTCAGTGGGGCTTACTCCCAGGTGTGTTGAGTTAGGATCGCTGCTTCTGCAGGGCTGGTGTCTTAAAAAGGTTGGTGCTGGATTTCAAAAAGTAAACCTTGTTGGCAAGGAACGTGATGGGTTTGTTGGTTTCTAACAGCTCTGATGGATGTACACAACTGCTTTTAGGCACTGGGGAAGAGAGAATATTCTATTCCATTGTATTATAGAGGGATGTTTATCAATTTGCCATTGGTGCGTACCTACATTATGGGCACATTTGTTTCTCGGCCACTGTGATCCACCCAAAGCAGAAGGCAATATGTACAAAGTCACAGCAGTTTAGATTTTAGCAACTGTACTGACTGTAGGTATTGTGTTAAAACTAACTCCAGATCCTCATTAAATTCTAGCTGCTGTATCTCATGTGTAGTGGAATGTGCATTGCATTAAAAAATAAATGTCTTGCCCTTCCCCTCCGAGGGGCTCAAGGAGGTCTGCGCCGTTTCCTGCCCAACCCCAACATCCTGTAACAACCTGGTAAGGTGAATTAATTGAAAGCGTCAAGCCAAAAGCTGTTGTTCCAACAGTGGCCAACCGGTTGCCTCTGGGACGGTCGCGAGCAGGATGGGAACAGCTGACTCCCCACTTATGGCTCCCAGAAACTGGTATTTGGAGGCACTCAAAGGGATTTCTAGCTGAGATTCCGTGATTCAGTTGTGTAATGGAGCACCGCCATGCTCTGTTCTCCTGGGGTGCTATTTGCCAGAATTCTGCATGCCAGATAAGTCTGCTTTTCTCAGACAGAAATCCACCAAAATAAGCAGGTGAAGAGGTAAGGCTATGTAAGGTAAAGGTAAAGGACCCCTGGGCGGTTAAGTCCAGTCAAAGGAGACTATGGGGTTGCAGTGTACACACCACACAGCCATAGCATACAGAGCATAACACAAAAACACAGGAAGAGCCCAGCTAGATCAGATCAAGGGCCTATCCAGCCCAGCCTCCTGCTTTCACAGAGGCAAACTAGATCCCTGTGGGAAGCTCACATATACAGAACAACAAACCCATGTGTTGCAAAACTTAACACTACAATCAATACAAGCAACACACAGACCAGTATACTAGATAGCACTGTAATTCTTATTGCATTATATACATGATTTAATAACAAAAACAAAATGTGTGCACTTGTCAATTCTCTAATATATTTGAAATCAATTGAACACACGTCTGTCAATCTTTGAAAGTCCGCAGAAGTATAATAAGTCTATGGTTGAAACAAAGTAATAGATGCTATTCTGTGGGCCAAGTGGTAAAACTTTTTTTAGGCGTGCCCAAAGTAGTAGGTGAATAACAACGGACAGTGATCCCGGATAATCTGACTGTTTCGCTGGAATCTTCTTCAGCACAACTAGAAAAGAATTCAAATATGAAACCATGACCTGTGTACATGAATACTATATAAACTTCACACGTTACAATCCATATTCTACAACTACAATAAGAAGAACAAAGGTACATACCCCATAGATTAGAAAATTGCACAAGGAGCAGTGGTCATATGGATATGTAACCATTGGTACCAGTTACATGACACCTGAAGCATAAGTAACCATTCCCAAGTGGTGCTCATTACAGGGAGAATGAATTGCAGTAAGTAAATTTAAAGGTACAAAGCGATATAACAACAATAGAAAAACATCAAATAAAACAATTTAAATCCAGTTCAGAATTGAGTCCTTCAGGGTGAATGGTCTTAAACCTAAAAATGAATTGAGATTCTTTCTGTCGTAGCCATTTTTCATGATCTTGTCTTTTGTTGATGGTTTTCTGATTCACCCACAGTACTGTGAACAATAAATCCCTATCAGAATGATTCTGCGATATAAAATGCTCAACCAGAGGAGCTTCCAAGACAGCATTTCGGATGCGGGAACCATATTCCCCTATCCTTACTCCAACCACACAAGTGGTGCAACCAACATACAAGAAGTTACAGGGACACCGAATTAAGTATACGACATCTTTAGTGGGAAGCTCTCACGCAGGACGCTGTGACGGTGGCGCTGTGGTTAACACAGATCGGACTTGGCCGACTGAAGGTCCAGTTTGAATCCCGGAAGGTGAGCTCTGTGCTCGTCCTGCTCTGCAACCTAGCAGTTCGAACGCACGTCAAGTGCAGTGATAAAAAGGTAACTCCGGCGGAAGGTAACTGAGTTCATGCGCTGCTCTGTTGCCGAAGCAGCTTAGTATATGCTGCCACATTTGTACGCGTCTCCCTCGGCCAGTAAAGCGAGATGAGCGACACCCAGAGGTCAGACTGGACTAATGTCAGGGTCCTTACCTTTAACAAGCAGGACTTCAGCACTCACTTCTCTCTGTGGTTCCATAATTCCTGGTTTCCGAAGCACCTCGCGTCTCCCCAGTGGGAGAGAACATTGGCATCATGTTTATAGCCATTTTGGCGCTATTTGCCATGAAAGTTTCGCCGCATTTTTCACTCTTGCCTTAACTCGGATGATTAGGCCCTGGATCATGGCCTCAGTGCAAAGAAGATCATCGTCATTACTTTTATTTATTACCTGCCTTTTACTAGCAGGTCCCAGAGCGGGTTACAACAATTTGAAATTTGGAGCACATATTGCTGTTGGCATTTGTCTTTCTCAAGAGACAATGGAGTGCGCCTCCGGGGGTAGAGCCAAACGGCTGTGTTAGCAGCGCCCAAGTGACCTCCGTGGGGCACAAGGCTGGGCAGTGTGTTTGGAGGTCCTGGGCTGCCCAGAGGATAAGACACACATCCCTTCTCGTCCTCGCTGATGGGGTCCAAAGGAAAGCAGAGAAAGATGCTTGGCACCAGCTTGGCTGCAGGAATTGCCAGAAGGAGTCGTATGAGTGGGACCCCACTCCAGATTTGTTTAGGGTTTGCTCCTTAGCCTTTTCTTCTACCAAAGGTATCCCACAAGGCAACAGAGGTTTGGAACCAGAGTTTTCCTTTTCTTGTGCTACCTTTTCCAAGCACAATTCAAAGTGTTGGTGCTGACCTTTAAAGCCCTAAACGGCCTCTGTCCTGTGTACCTGAAGGAGCGTCTCCACCCCCATCGTTCAGCCCGGACACTGAGGTCCAGCTCTGAGGGCCTTCTGGCGGTTCCCTCACTGCGAGAAGTGAGGTTACAGGGAACCAGGCAGAGGGTCTTCTAGTGCCTGCCCTGTGGAAGTTTCACTCGTCCAAGCAGCCTGTCCACATCCTCGGAGGTAACAGACAACTCACTGTGCAGAGCCCTGCTGAGGATAAACACCGCAGTAGCAAGCAATTGTCATGACTTGTCCACACCCAGGCAAATGTATACATATTACCTATTCAAAAATCAGCCTTCGTCAGCTTGGCCAGAACGTCCCATCAAACTACCTGGCCCACAAGGGCACAGGTGGCAACTATCCAAGGCTTACAGGTAGCTCCAAGGTCTGGCCCCAGAGCCCAACATCCCTGGCCCCATAGATAAGCACAGCATCAAAGCCAGCCAATTAGCAACTGCATATGCATATGTGAGGTCATTCTTGCAACAACTACCAATTAGTTATGGCACAGAGATTGGCACCCAGGGGGGCAGTGCAGTGCTCCGCCTGGGGGCGATTTTGTCACACACACGCCGGTCAGGGATAACATCCAGGGCGGACCACCCACACAGCCCCCCCCTTCCTATAT